ACTGCCATAATAAGCAATTTAGAGTCATTTTCTTCATCTTTGTTGGATCTTTGATTCCTCAGTTTTTGTTCTCATCACATAATTGGCACTTATCAGGTGTCTAGTTTATTCAAATTGTGAGCACTTGAAATAAATAATGGATTTGTGAAAACTAAAACCCTAGGAGGGGAAAAAGAATTTAGATGAATAAAGGATGCATGTTTGTTATGTACAATTTATTAAGGTGGCTTTTATTTGGTGGGGGAGTGGAAATTTTAGGGTTAAAATATGTAATTCTAATTTATAAAGGTCTCCTATGGGCCTAAAGTCTCTTGTTTGATTCCAGAATATAAAATATATTATGAATAACTTGCTTTCCTCATAAAAGTATTGTTTTGTTTATCTAGAGATATGAAGAAATTTTTTAATATTTAGGAAGCCAGACTTGTTTTTCTCTTAGTCTCTTCCACATCTTTACCTCCCAGATTTCAACATATAGACTATAGCAGAAAAGTCCCCCTTATTCTCCCTCCTGGGATTCCAACTCTTCCCTCTTCCTCTTGGTGCCACTGCTTTCTTCTTAGCTTACACAGAAATAAGCCATTCCTGCCCTTCACTTTTAACTGTTATATTCTTCTTATTCTTAATTCTAGATTCTTAAAGTATTCTTACATGAAATGATCTTTCTTGTGTTTAGGCTATAGCTGATTGCCATATAGATACCAGCCCGAGGAATTGATTGCCCCAGAAGTAATCCTAAGTAACTTGATTTACTTTCAGGCATTTTATCCAGGATTATGGTATGAGATACGATAATCAGATTTACAGCATTTTAGAAACAGTAGCAGCATTGGACCAGCAGGTTGTCATCCACTTGATTCCTACCCTCACTCAGACTCTGAAGGATTCAGAGCAGAAATGGGGCCTTGGCAGAAATATGACACAAAGGTATGTTTGATAATTTGATTAAGTTCTTTGGGGCATGATTAAAAATCTAGATTCATTTTCTAGAAATGGCTTAGTTTTCCATTCCCAAAAATATGAGATGTATTTAATTGAAACATGTTTTAGTGCTGTGATTGACACATCCATCCACACATTGTTCTTTTCAAAGTGACCACCCTAGAAAGCCGTCTATTTCAGCAGTGCTGCTGCTGTTGCAAAACACAGGTTCCTCATGGCAAAGTGGCCTGTAGAGCCTTGTTTGCCTTGTTTTTGTATAAATTCCATGGTGGCATATCAGTCCTTTAAAGGATGATTGGTTTACTGTATCTACTTTATCATGTATATCCAGTTAATAGGCTAAGTGCCCCAATTAGATAACAATGTTTCTGGTAAAAAAAATAGATAAGGCTTTTTTTAAATAGGTTTATAACCCAACTGAGGATAGTGCTTGAAATATTCAGGGTAGTGCAACATTGTGGAAATATGCCTGTAGTTCCTAAAGAGATTGTTTTTGAGGTGTCAGCCTCATACTGAAATTCATATGTCCCAAAGTTTGTTAAGGAATCAAAGTACTTTAATCACATTGTGGGAGTGTACATACAGAGTCAAGCAAGTTCAATTTGTAAATACATAAATGAAAAGTAATGAAAGGGAACTAAATCTATCTGCCTTCTTTTCTCTTACACAGGAAAGCCTATAGCAAACTTCTATCTCACTTAGGACAAGTGGGACAAGATGAGATGCAAAGACTAGAAAATGAAAACAACTAATATGTTTGTGATTCATCTTTTTTATTAATTATAACTATCCAAACCCAGGTCGCATCATTCTCACCCCTTTTAATTAATTGTATGCTGTTCTGTTAAAATTATTTTCTAGGATTTTTTTCCTTACATACTTGTAAGTATACTAAATGTATAAATAAGTAAATAAAGGTTCATTAAGTATCTTTTGGAATCTCTGAAACTAAATTAAAGAAACTTTTTCTAAATGGGAGTGTTATCTGTGTATAGCAGTATCACTGGTTGATCCATGGACTTGTTACTGTAATGTGACTATGTCTTGGGACTTGTTTGTGTTTGTTGAGATTTTTATGAGTTATCCTATATTATAAAAGGCTAATATGTAAATCGACCAAACAGCAGAACAACCAGTCACTATAACGTGCTCAATGTAGGAGCTGCCCCCTGGTGGTCATTGTGCTTCCACAGGGGAAGTGCCACTCAGCCAGAAGCTGGGCTCACAGCTGGCAAGCGCAGCAGTGGTAGTGGGAGCCTCTCCCGCCTCCATGGCAGGCGGACATTCCTCAAGGGGTCCCGGACTGCAAGAGGGCTCAGGCCGGGCAGAGGGACCTCCCTCCTAAGTGCATGAATGTTGTGCACCGGGCCTCTAGTCTATAATAATAAAAGTATAATATGCCAATTAGACCAGATAGCTGAATGACCTTCCGGACAAAACTGGGGCTACAAGGGCAGCCACTGTGGCTGCAAGGGCCAAGCCCCTTGCACAAATTTCGTGCATTGGGCCTCTAGTGTTCTAATAAGATACCTTTGTAAGGTTTTTGGAAGGGGAAAAAGGATTAGGAGACAGAACTGTTTGTTAACCGTTTTTTTTGTGTTTTTTTTATACAATGTGTGAGGCAAGTTAATGAGTAAAACCCTTACCAAACCTAAGAATGAGACCAAAAATCTGCCTAAATGATTGTATAGATAAAATGTGTTTTTTTTGTGAGTTTTTTTTTTTAATTAAGCCAACAGTGTTGTTTAGGTAGATTCCATCAGTTGCCAGATGTTTTTCCCTACTCATTCTTTGACAGTTGTCATTAACAGATATATCAGGAAGAAGATAAACAAGAACCTATAAGGAGATAAGTAATAATACTCTGGAAAATCTTGATATTACAAATTAACTGAAGAGGTCTGAGAAGTCCACTGATTTATCTCCTCATTCTTCAGTTAGAGCCTCTTATAATTTGGCATCTTATATGTTTATAGGGGACCAGTTTAGTTTCTTTAAGCAGCTGTTGCCTCTTAATTCTTTAACAATCTCATCCAGATTTGTTTACCAGTTGGGCTCTTGACTCCTTTTTGTAGTAAGCATTATTTGGTAAAAAAGCTCTAGTCCTAGTGTTTGGGATCCACCTGGTTGTCAAACCTAGCTCTGCTTTGTGATCTTGAGCAAGTTACTTAACCTTTCTGAGCCTCAGTTTCTTCATGGAGAAAAAAAAAAAAGAATACTGCTATTTCTATTTTACAATGTTCTGATAAGATTCAGTAGGAAAATGTATGTGAAATATTTGGTGGCCTGTATTCTGTTTGGATATGCACAGATATGATTACTGTATTATGTATACACAAAGGTTAAAAAAAAACCTCTCAACTTTGTTCCTCTGAATGATCCTACTTTTTTTGCAATGTTTTCTTAATTCCTTTCTTCTGGGACTCTGGTCTTCATCGTGGTTCTATTCCTTCAAGAAAACATTTCAATCCTTTTCTGGTTCAAAAAGTATTTTAAAATTGAAATGTATTGCAATCAGCAAAATATATTTTATAGCACTCTCCTAATTGTAATCTGAAGTCTAAAGAAGTATCTGTTTTCATAATATACAAATGGTCTGTTTTCCCCCCATCAGCTGTCATTACTTCAATGAAATGAATGAAAGTCTCTTTATGGTCACTTAACAGACTTCGTAGCAATGAATTTCTTTTCATTATGATCATTATGAGAATGACTTGTTAAACTATTTTATCTATTTAAAGTGATGCTTTTAAAGGAATTTTATGTATAGGTTACATATTTTTATTTTCCAAGGGAAACTGATAACTATATCTGAGAATCTTGCTCCTTAGAGTATGAAACTTAAAGGATCAGAAAAGCTGCTGGTGAATCATGCATTATGGTGAATAACTGTAGATACTAAGAATAACTAAAGTTTATACTTAAAAAATCAATTGCAACAAAAGTGTAGCAATACAGGTGTATGTATGTTTTTTATTTATATGGAAAATTTTGAAGAAGCTGTTTTTCTTTAATTGAAGAAAAAATTTGACTCAGTTCCTTTTCCTAAAAATCTTCAGTTGCCCTTCACTCATTACTATAACCTTATCTTTTTCCATTCCCAGACTTAAGAGTACCTTATAACTGCTTCCTTAATATCTATTTTTCCCTAAGTACCATTATCTCTGAGGCTGCTCCTCTACCTTTTGTTTTGTAAGTCACTCTCCTCTGGTGAAATGAGGAAAGTACGTCCTCATTTCTCATGTTCTTTGACCTCTGTGGCATTTGCATTTTCATTTATCTTCTCATCCCTTCCTCAGGGAAACTGCTCCTTCCTACATGTACTGAACTTGGAGAGCACCTTCACATTCTTTTTTCATGTCCCAGTGGTAAGATTTGGTTCTTCACCTGTTCTGCCTCAACATTCTTCTTATAGTCTATTGGTAACACTAGCTTATAATTTTCTCTCTCAAGTCTATTTCTTGGGCTAATTTCTCTCTAAACCACTCTAATTTGATCCTCCTGAAATCTCTGGGCAACGTATCAGGCTGCCCTTGTCACTTTATATTCCAGTCTACCTGTCTTTATTTTTTACCCAGGTAATACACTGTTTTCCCAAGTTCCTAGCTGTGAAACTTCAGAGGCAGCTTGGATTCTTCGTTGCTCCCACTTTCAGTTGATCAGCAGCACAGGCTCTTGCTATTTTTTTCCACTCCATGCATCTCGGCTATTTTTTCTATTGAGCTCTATAATCTCTTATTTCTGGTCTCTTTTTCTGCAGTTAATCCTTCTCACAGTTCTGACATTAGTGTTTCTAAAGTAGTACTTTCCTCTTGTTACTTTTCTGCTCAGGGCCTTCAACTTACTTCCCATTATTAGTAAGCTGACAGTGAAATCCTTCAATCAGACTTTCTGCCATCTGACTCTACCTTTTCTGTCCAAACTTACCTCTGGCAGAAGACTAGACTGTCTTAGACTGTCTGAATGTCATGTTCATTCTATACTCTGAGAGTATGCCAGTCAAGTAATTTCTGTGCACTGTCAGATGGAGTGTAAAGAAGATGATTGAGGCACAACAGTGTGATGAAGTGATTTTATTAGACACTCAGATTTGGTCATGATTGAATGTTTTTAATTGAACATTTAATGTTTCCATGGGGAAGGAAAAAAATGGAGTATTGACTCTATACAAAAAACATTTGATATTGAGTTCATTTACATAAGAATTTCATAGTTGAAGACTTTTATATCCTTACTTATTCCTAGCATATTTTCTTTTCTTCTTAAGTGTAACTACTTCTACCTGGGCATCTATATAAAAAAAATAATTAGTTGTGGGTTATTAGACTATGTATATGTTCTGTCATTGTTATCTCTCTCAGGCTCTATCACAAAACTTTAAAGCTACTTTGTTCTTAAGGAATTAATGGATCTGTCTTCATGTACTGTTCTGGACTTTGACAGTTTTTAATTTTGTGTTCCCTTTGTTAAGATTATATGTTACACAGAAATTTGATAAGCCCCTGCAGTTGGGAGAAGCCTGTATGAAACCTACCTTCCTAAATACGAAATGTTACACAGCACTTGTGTTTTGAAGATAAAGATAGGTATCATAGGACCTTCACTAAATGCTGTATTATCAGTACTAAACCACTGCTCTTTGAATGATAGACTTTTTATATAAACCTTACATTTTTCCAAAAACTGATGTCTACTCCTCCTAGGGTTAAAAATATTGCCTTGTCAGTCTAGTGTATAGTTTATCCATGTAAATAACATGCTTTGTGAAGTGGTTGATTTGGGAAGCTACGTAGCACATTCTTTTACATATTTAACAACATATGAGAGTTGTATTTTGATTCTGTGATATATATTGGTAAAGTTACCAAAATCAGTACCACATGATTGAAATTGACCATTTTCTGCTTATTAAAGTTTTGGTGTGCTAATAGTTATTTGATTATTGCATTTGCAAATTGTACTTTTAGAAGAATTCTGGGCATTCTTATAAACATTTTTATAAGTTATTTTGTGCATATATTAAGGATATGTAATAAAAATGTATTTATTTAACTTAGTCTGTACCTATGATTATTCAACTTCCCTTTTTATGACAGATTGACTACTTGAAAACCAAAATAATTTCTATTTTATACTATTGCTTTCATACTCTTTTGTAAAACACTAGTTTTCCAGCTATTGCAGTGTCTGAAGGGAATACAATATACATCTAGTTAAACAAGGAAAGCATGAAGAGAAGTATAAAAGGTACCTTAATCATAACCTAACTGGCATTATGTTAAGGACCCAAAGAATTTTATTGCATTTTACATTTTAGAGATTCATATCTTTGCTGGCTTTTCCTCCCACATAAGAACACTGCCAATATCTATGTAGTACTGCTTCTTTTTAAAAGTAAAATACTGAAATGATGCTTAAATAGTTGGAAGTTTCGTGATCTATGGAAATTCACATTGATAATTTGAATATAAAAACAATATGATCTTTAATTTAAAGAGTGAAACTAGAAGATGAATTGCTATAGAATAGTACACTTAAGTGGAAAAATATATGAATAGTTTCAATGACCAAATAGTTTTTTTTCTTATTATTAGCTCTTACTATTGATGATTTTAGGGAAAGGATCTAATTATAAGTGATCTCTGCGTTATTTTTCTTTTTTAGGGGAGAGATGTAGTAGTTTGTTTTCTGTTGTTGGGCTGTACTTATAAAGGGTTTATAAAGTTTCTGAAAATTATGTAAAGCTTTTATAAATTCTGAGTTCAATTATTTGAATACTATGTTCACCATGGAAGAGTTTGACAATAGATACTGATTTGTTTAAAATGAATAGTTAGAAATCCACACAGAAGAAAATCAAGAGTACTCTTAGGTAGGCTGCCTTCAGTTACCATTAAACAAACTTATTTTTAGACCATTTCCCTTTTACTTGTTGGATATAGGGTCTGGGGTTACAAATAGACTAATGGTTTTATAAGGTAAAACTGCTACAGGGAAAATCTATATGTCAAGTAGAAGAATTCATGAATCAAATATTTCTTGCATAGGTCCTTGTTGAAAACATTCTGAAATGCTGTACATTTTCCTGACCTGGTAAGGCATTTTAAAAATTTAGTTTAGATGGTTTACACCTTTTAAAGAGATTATCTATCATCCTTCTAAATTTAAATTTATCTATGTCACTTTCAGAACTGTACAAATACTCTCAAGGATTTTTGTCTAAACTAAATCTCTGTTCTTTAAAATTTACTTTGTCTTCTCACTCCTAATTTCTCTCCCCACCCCACCCTTAAATCTGGATAGCAAGAAGATATATATTTTAGGTATCTTATAATGTATAAGATTAGTGAATTCTGTATTTAGAATAAAAATCTTTAAAGTGTTTACATGAATATAATTAGAATTTCCTGTAAGCCAAGGATTGCTGAATGATTAAACTATGTCTAGGGAAAAAGTCAGTGAAGTCTTTTTAATAAAGGTGACTTAGATTAGGAAAAGGGGAAGACACATTTTTTTTTTGTTGACTTTGTTCAAATTGATTATTGAGTTGTTTTCTTTTTGGTTATGGACAAAGCAGATCCAAAAACCTAGCCTAAAAAAATCCTTATGCATTATTAAAAGTGGTAATAATATGTGTATTGGTGATGGGAAAGAATCCCACAAGCACTCAAGATTGACATAACCTTTAACAAAGTGGAAAAACTTTTGTTAGAATTACTGATTCTAGGTTCAAATTTATGTCAAAGCACTTTATGGTACCAAAATTAGTACAGCTAATTTTTTTGAGTATAAAATGTCATTTTTCAATAAATGAATTTAAATGAGATGTTTGAGAGAGTTATTTGAGGCAAGGATTTGTGCAAGTTTAGGATTCTTTGGGTTTGTGAAGTCCCTTTTTTCTAATTAGCATTATCTCTTTCAACCTGCTTTTAGAATCATTTATTCTATAGCATGTGTTTGAAGTTCTACCTAGTAATTTTTAAAATTCAAAAATAATCTCCCTGTTTGGTACAAGATTCTTAAGACAGTAAAATACCTTGGAATTTGAGTAACATTTTTTTCTTAGGTGAAGTACTTCAGTGCATTTGCCTAATCCTCACGCCATTCTTCTAAATTGATATGGAAATCACTAATTATCCTTTTAAACAGTTGGAAAACTAAAGCTCTGTAAAGTTAAGCCCAAGCTCACAGAGTAATTATTATTACTCTGTGATAATTTAAGTTAATATGACTAATAGAAGTACACTGGAATTCCAGTGTACTTCTATTAGTCATATTAACTTAAATGCATTATGGCATTTAAAAATTCATGATGTCATAATGCTGGGTCTCTACTGAATAGGGCTGTCTAATGTTAAATTTTTAAAGAAAAATTACAAACCCAGGTTTAAGTAGCAAAGGGATTGAGTGTTGAAGTGTTTTAGAAATCAATGATGACAGTACTTGGAAATAAATTGACTTACTAGTGCTGTCATGTTGTCCTAGACAGCACTAGTTAGAAAAAATGCTCTAATAACCCATAGAACAGTAATGGACCATTAAGTTGGCACTAAGCTACACAACAAAGAAGTCATACATATGCTATTGTATTGTACATTACATACACTGTAAAGGCTGACGGGAATTTTCAGTTATGTATTTTAGAAAATTGTTCTTTTTTTTTCTAATGTTTATCTGAATATAAGACCTATAAAACAAGACAAGGAAGCATTTGAGCACTCAGTCTTTTCATGCCCAGTATCCAAAAGTCAGGCTTTTAATTCCTCCTGTTTGTGATCGTTATCCACAGGGCATTGGCTTTTCAGATGGTGCCAATCCTGTGATGAGGCACTTGAAGAGTTTGAAGATTAGGGCATGTGAAATATGGAGCTGGAAGGAAGCATGCTGCTATTCCATTGGAAGCAAAAGGGAGTGTAGGCCCATAGAATACTTCTTCCTTGCCTTCTCTACTTACATCCAATACCTATAACGGAAGAAAAGAAGCCTGCATGTCAGACATGACTGCTCAAAATAAAGCTGTGTACACATGAAAGGAAGTCCGCAGTTCAATTATGCCATCATAACCATACCTTAGCCATTGCTATTTTTCTTACATTATAATACCAAATATATGTACTAAGTCCCTGCCTAGAGTTTATATACTTGTGCGTATACATATAGATATAGGTATATATTTACAATAATTTAATCAGAAGAGTGATGAGGTAGTTAGCATTATCCTTAGGCTGCTTAAATAACATGTTCAAACTAGTTAGTAGGCGATGTCATATGTTGGGTTACAAATGCTAAGTTGTAAACTGGGGAAAACAACATTGACCTTCCAGCATTGTTCTCAAAATTGGTGACATCCAGCTCTGTCTGGATGTCAGAATATACAGGACATCTTCGTAGCAAATTCATAATCAGTTCCATTGATTCTGGAAATTTTCTCATCATTTCCTTTTCACCCTAGAGTTCTATCTCTTATATGGAAGAGAGTCTCTGTTAGTCTGTGCCTGCTGACATTTCACCAAATCTGACAATCTTACTAGTACTAGGAATATTCATTAGGAAAGTTGGTTGTATTTCATTTGTCAAATCCATTAAGTTCTTTCCAGCCCCAAACACCTTAATCTATCTCTATTTGAACACCCTCTAACCCAGTGGTTCTCAACCTTGGCTGCACATTAGAATCACCTGGGAATCTTTTTAAAATCCTGATTTCTAGGCCTCATCCTCCAGAAATTCTGTTTCTTTGTTATGGGGTGGGGCCACAACATTAGTAACAAAGAAACAGAATTTCTGGAGGATGAGGCCCAGAAATCAGGATTTTAAAAAGATTCCCAGGTGATTCCAATGTGCAGCCAAGGTTGAGAACCACTGCTCTAACCTCATTTAAAACCTTCCCTGGAAAAGGTCCAAGATGGCAGTAGCACAGGTGATGCAGCTCACCCTCAAACAGCGGGATTAACAGGTTCCCAACACACTCACACGTGCACTGGGTCACCACTCCCAGAGCCCACTGTTGCTCATGCACACTGGGCTGCCTCTCTCAGAGCCCACGCCAGCCAGTAGCCCAGGCACCTACCCCAAGCACTAATGTGCCTCCTCAAACTACCTGGCACACCCAATCAACACACAGATTGCTTCTATATAAGACCATTTTTTTGAGATTTGAGAGAGCAGTTTCATCTAATTTATGTAAACACAGAAATACAAGCGCAATGAGAAGACAAAGAATATGTCCCAAATGAAGGAATAAAAACCAGCCCACCTCACCCCCCAAATTAAAACAAAATACCCTAATTAAGTGGAAATGAGAAATTTGCCTGATAAAGAATTCAAACAGTCATAAGGATGTTCACCAAACGAGAGTAAAGGAGAGGAACTCCGAAAGAATGTCAACAAAGAGCAGGTATAACAAAGAGTCAATCAGAGCTAAAACAAAAGAAAATACAATAACTGAAATGAAAATATACACTAGGAGGAACCCACAGCATATTAGATAATACAGAAGAACAGATTAATGATGTGGAAGACAGATGAGTGGAAATCACCCAAGTATAATAGCAAAAAGAAAAAAAAAGTTCTTTAAAGAATCATTTAAGGGACTTCTGGGACATCAAGCACATTAACATTCATTTTATGGGAAATCCAGAAGGGAAACAGGGAGAGAAGGAACAGAAAATGTGTTTTAAGAAATAATACCTGAAAACTCCTAATCTGGGTAAGGAAAGACATTCAAGTCCAGGAAGTGCAGAGTTTCAAACAAGATTAACCGTTACATATTGTAATTAAAATGGCAAAACTTCAAGATGGAGACTTGAAGGAGGAAAACAACTAGTCATATAAAAGAAAACCCCAAAAGTTTATCAGCAACAAAGCTACATCCCAGAAGGGAGTGGCAGGACATTTTTAATGTGCTGAAAGGAAGGATTCTACAACCTAGAATACTGGAAAGATCATTCAGAACTGAAGACGAGGTAAAGAGTGTCCCAGACATGAAAAAAAGTAAATGAAATCATAAGACCACCAAATCTGCTTTATAAGAAATGTTGACCTTCTTTAAGCGGAAAAGAAAAGACAACCAAAAATAAAATATTTGAAAGAAAAACCCCATGTGAAATCATTGGGTTGTATGCCTGAAACTAAATATTGCATGCCAACTATACTTAAATTTTTTAAAATAAAAATTAAGTAAAACCTTTTCTCCCTTGGATTCCATATTTTTAAAGAAATTAGTAAGTTTGTCCCTGACATTGTCCTATTAATAGCTTTCTACCTCTGGTCCCTTTTCCTCCACCTACTTGCTAAATGTAGGAATGATCCAATATTTCAACCACAGACCTGTTGTTACTCTTCTTTAATGATCTCGTCCACTCTCATGTCTCCAACTATCACCTCAGTAAATAATTCTGAAGTCTTTAACTGTAATAGTGTATTATTGCAGATGAAAGGGGCTATTGAGATTTGGTGCTCCAAGCTCATAAAGGAGAAAATCACTAAGGCATAAAATAAAAGATTACACTTACAGCTACTTTCCCCCAAATGAACACTAGGTATCTCACCCCATTTACTAAACAATATACCCAGATACTAGTAATTTAAAATACCTCTATTATGGTCTACATGCAAACTTAAGTTTTTATCTTTTGTTGACTTATGTGTCTTTGTGCGGTACTACGTTTACAGTTATTTTGACTGGGTAAGGCAAGTCTCCCCCATTCACTTAAAATTTTTTCTTGGTTATACTTACATGTTTACTTTCCTAGAGAATTTGAAAAGTGTTCCCCTCCCTCCTATGAAAAAGGAAAATCTCAATGGGATTTTGATTAGTATTCATTGAATATAGAAAGTAGGGATCTTCCTATATTTACTTTAACTATATAAAGTTAAGTATTATCTTCAATTGACAGAGAAGAAAATTGAGTTAAAGAGAAAGTTCAATGACTAATAAAAGTCAGACAGCTAGTAAGTGGTAGAGCCAATAATTGAACTCAAAGTTGCAACCCAAGAGCAAGAAATTTGTGCCATTCATGACATCCCCTCATCTGAATAAATTTTTAGAAGGCAATATAAGTTAAGGTCATCATCCAGAGAGCCTTTTTTCTGGTTCCATGGAACAACAGAGACTGCATATGTTAAGGAAATATCTTTTTAATCTGTGAGAAGGGAAAAGGAGGTGTTGGCAGTTTTTCTCCCAAGTACTCTCCTGTAAACTGCCAGAAAGAAGGCATTGGAGAGAAGGAGGTACCAGCTTGGCAACATACCCTTTAGCAAAAAAAAAAAAAAGTAATAAGTGAAGAGCAGTGGAGGTGATCTGGAAACACAGACTACTTGTGCATACATTTATGCAGCTGCTCCCGTTTGTGCTGCTCATCATCCATGGTGCACCAAATCGGAGTCAACCTTTGTGCCAGACGTTTCCTTATACACCCACTGCATAAACAAGAGCACCTCATTTTCTACAGGAGTCTTTAATATTTGCCATGAGTCTTCATTACTAACAAATCCAAATCTCAATCTTTAAACAAGTATGCATTGAAAAGCAAGCTTTTCTCTTGTTTGAGTTGCCCTCCTATGCTAAGTCAAGTAGTAGGAGGAAATAAAATAATAGGCTTTCTCAACATTTGACATGCTTCATCACTATGTAGCTGAAGCCTACAGATGACAGTTAAAGCTTTAATTAGAGTACAGAATGGGCAATCTAATGCGACAATTTATTGACTGATATTTTCAATAGAAAAAAAAGACTTCAGTTGTGGATGTTAACGGACTAATGTGAACTATTTAAGTGTGAACTTCATTAATCTTAGTCAATCATGCATGCCCTTAGAGAAGGATTATGTAGATTTGTGATTTATGAAAAATTTAAATGTTGATGTTTTTTAGATGTAGACTATTTTCTCCACCATTTTCCTGTACTTTTCAACCTGCTGATTTATACTTAGGAATTTCTAATGTCTAGTCAACATTTTCTCATAAACACTATTCCTGTCTTCCATTATCTTGCTTGTCTGTTGGATATTCTTCCAACTAGTAGTAAAGAAGTTTGCTTCTGAATATGTAGCTAGTCTCTCCAACCATCAATACATTACTATTAGTGAACCAAAATAAGCAGTTCCATAGTCACCCATAAAGTAAGTATTTGAGATTGTGCAACCATAGTTTAGAATGTATAATATAATCTAACCAGTTGTCAATAACTAAAATGATACATGATAAATCTGTCATCCATGAAGACTTCCATTCCAAATATCTCTAAGTGACAATCTGAATACTTATATGAACACTTATTATATATAACAGTAAAGACTCGCAAAGGCTTTTATCAAATTTACCTGTGCTTTGTAGGATCAGTGTGCCAGCCGAGAGAATCAACAGCATTTGCAAAATGAATCATTTTGTATGTCAAAATAGCTAATGGAACATAGAACTAGCCAGAATGCTGACTTTTTAAAAAGCAAATATATTAGAATATCTGATCTTAAGAGGTAAAATGTATTCTAATACAGGTATTGGTCAAAGTATTTATGAATCTCCTCATAAAATCACCTTAATTCTGAGGTTACTCTAGAATATCTTTAGTGGTTTAAAATATACCCAAGTACTTCATCTTTTAAGGACAACAGATTTGATTAGGAAGAGCCAAAAGTCATTAACAGAGCACTGCCTGCTGCCCAGTTCAAAATTTTAAATTCTGAAAAGTAAAAAATAAAAAGGAATCCAAAACTCAGTGAAGACTGACAAATACATGTTTGGATGAGGGACTATAAGCACTCCTTGTGGGAAAGCAGTTTGCATATTTTTATCCAAAAGATATAAGCAAGCTCCAGTACTAAGCAGCATTCAATTAACTAAAGACTTATTTAAAGACTTTAATATTTCAAAGGACCAACTTGTGGCTTTGATATTTTTCTATTGTATTGCTGTTTAATAGTTTATTGCTTTCCTCTCATTTATATTATCTCCTACCTTTAGTTT